ATGTACACAGAATGATAGCTCTAATAAACAGGAAGAAATATATATTTCTGTCATTCTGCTGTTTCCAGCAGTAGAGTTTCCAATTAGAATTCCTTCTTCACATAAGTAATATATCCAGCATAGATAAAAACTTCTACCACAAAGTCCTTAATACCATTAATTATTTGATCTATGTGAGGACATTATAAAAGGGATAAAAAAAGAAAGACAGAATTCTGTAGGTGTAAGGTAGCACAGCAGGGAACTCCGCTGATTTCAACGTATTAGAGATTGCAAGGGAATTAAAGAATTACAATAAAGTGTGCAGAAAAAATGACACTTAGATGCAAACTCACTGCTTCTGATTTTTACTTTTGTTCTGTTATTTTATTGTCTGGCTTAAAATTGCAAGATGCATTCTTGCACAAAGTGGGAGATGAAGGGGTTGACTCCTGCCTGCTAATTTCACATCCTGATTGCTGTTGATGCCATTAAAGTCACTCGTGTCCAGAAAATCCTGAAGTAGCTTTGTATTAAAATGATTGCATTTACATTTTCTTAAAATCGTTCATCCATGAGCCTCAAAAGAGATCTGGGAGATTTGAGAGCAGTTGGGGAATGTGCAGAAAGCACTTTGTCCTGGGGTAATTGCTGTGGTTATGCAAACTACCTTTGTCTAGAAACCACACTGGACATCTTTTAAAGACCTTCTGCATTGTCATCCTTTGTTCCAGCTGTGAGGGAGATATTCCCAAAACAGTCCCTTTCATGGTTATTTCAAGAATCTGCTTGTAAATTTCAGAGACTGAGAATCAGCCAGGGAGCTGAGCCACCAGGTTTTTTTACATGTAAAAAAGGCAGAAGTGAGCTCCAGCTCTGAGCTATATTTGTGCACGCCCAGAGCTGTGTTTCTCTGACCTGACACTGATGTTGTGAGAGTTATTAAGATTTTACACCATTCCCGAAGGCTGCAGGACAGGATGCAGCTCCTGGTCCATCCTGGGTGGTGGGTCCATCACCAGGGAGAGGGCATTTCACAGGGCTCAGGCATTTCCATGAACTTCTCCAGCTCCTTCCCCACAGAAGGGCACAGAATTCCTGGAGACTCATTCTGGTGGAAAATGTCAAAGCCCCTCCTGGATGTGCCTCCCTGGCTGGAGAAACACTCAGTGGCTCTGTGCCTGTGGCAGACAGCTCAGAGCTCTGTGAGCAGGGAGCTTTGGGGCTTTTCTGCACGTGCTTTTTCTTGTTTTGCTAAAAACACCATGAATAAATAAACAACCTGAGCAATGCCGTACTGAAGGATCAGTGGGTTAATTAGGAAGATGTGGGAAGGTGATTGTCTCCTCTCCTGCTCAGCTCCTGCTGCCAGGTTCGTTCCTGCAGCAGTGCTGGAGGTTGTTCCTGGAGGAGATTCTTGATGTTTTGTCAGCTCTGAGAGAGTGGAATGTCCAGGAGAAAGGAGAAAGCAGATCAGATAAATCGAGTTTATTGCTGATCAGCTGCTAGGATTTATCTTCAAGTTCTAGGAACCAACTAAAATGTCAACCCAGGGAGTCATTGTTCTTCACTCAAGAGCCACATCTCGAGCTACATTAAGGAATATTTATTTTAAGACATAGCAAGGAAGGGGAAAGTATTTGTTGCTAAACAAAATTCCTAAGTCAAATGGAAGACTTGCCACCCATTGGCAAAACAATTTGGTCATTTCATTTTGCTTTTTCTATTTTCTGCTTGTTAGTTTCATTTCTTTCCAGGCATAACATGTTCACTTTTAGTCAAACATGGTTTCTAACAAAAAACAAGCAAACAAACAAACAAAAAACCCCAACCAAAAAAAAAAGAACCCAAAACCAAAAAACAAACAACTAAACAAGCCATCTGTAAGAAAAGAAAGTTATTCTCTTCTTGTTGTTTGACATCTCTTCTGAACAATTCTGACTGTCCAGCCATTGCAACTTATTTTGCACTTAACTAGCAGTTAATATCCCAAATACCTTGCATCTCTTTTGCTTTCTCTCATTACTTCTGAACTTGAATTGATAACCAGGTGGTTTCTTGCACTCAGCAAAACTTCACTGATGAGCACTTTATTTTCTCCATCTCTCCTCCCTCTCACTTTTTCTGCCCGCTTCTATTTGTCTCTTTAGAGTACACCCTTCCTTTTTTTACTCGGTTATGCTCTGGTTTTGGCTTATTAGAATTTTCTGCAGCAGACAGGATGGCAGTGAGCCTCTCAGGAGGAAGGAAGGGATCTGAAGCTGTTCCCAACAAGTGCAGCTTCTCTTTTTTAGTTCCTTCCTCAAGCAGGTGCCTTCCCTCTTTTGCATATCTGTAAAGTGCAGGGCTGTTGGGCTCAGCAATCAATCCTGTGCTCCAGCTTGGGCAGAGAAGGACTGCAGCAGGTTCACAGGAAGGAACAGGCTGAATCAGTACAGATTTTAGAGCACTGTGTTATAGAACTGTAAAAGTCTCTGGAGTTCCAAATAAATGACTACAGATGTGACACCTCTGAGTGGGATTTGTCTCAAAGAAAGAGCTGGAAATTGAGCATCATATAGTTATTTTCTCCTTTGAAAGGTTAAAGCAAAAGGATTAAGGATGCAGCTTATGCTGGGATATTTTTAATTTTGCAGGAGAATGACAGCAGACAGGTGAATTTATTTTCCAGTATTTGAAAACAGGGAGGGGTGCTGAGGGGGAAAAGAAAGCTATAGATCAAAAAAGGAAACTCTTGCACATCACGTAGTCACTCTCACTTTGGTAAAGCTCTACACACCCATATTCAGGGAAGCTGAACTTTTCCAACATAACTTTTCCCTTTTTGGCCTGCAGAGAACAAGGATGGCACTGGAAGTGGTTTAACTTGCACACATATGTTAACACCTCTGGCACACCCAGCCAAGGAGGAGTGCAGGGTTTGTTCAGCTCCAAATGTGTGGAAGTGAATTGTGTGTTAATTACATGTGTGTTAATTATTGGCTTCAAACACACGTGGCTTTTCCATGCAGCACACTGGCACATGTGGCACTGGGTGTCATCGGGGACTTTGGTCCTATTTGAGTTGTCAGAATTCTTAAGAGCTTAGACCTGAAATTTGTCTTCAGTAAACACATATGCTTCCTTTCATTTTAAAAAGGGCACAAGGAAGAACTAGACTATTTATTTAGCTCCAGGGTGCCATCAGTTTTGATGTGACTGTTTCCAGCTGGAATAGATAAAACCTCAGGATTCCTGTGGGGAAAAAAAAAATTATTAGGAATACTTTTTGTTCTGCAAAGTGATCATATTTATTCTGCTTTATGAAGGAGTTAATTTTTAGATTGACCTTCACGTGTTGTGTAATCTAAATTTATGAAAAATACTGAAGTGGTTACATCATCTGCAATATAAATTACAGGAAGAACCTCTCTAGGCCAAGTAAACCTGATTGGTAGGTGATTCTGCTGTGGAAGGGTTAGAAAATTATAGAATCACAGAATGTTTGTGTGGGAAGGGACCTGATCTTCAGGAGAAGCCTATTGTCATATGAGCACTCCCAGTGTTTTCTTTCCTTCCATGGAACGACATTTAGCATAGCATGTGTCCATTTTAGAGCATAAAATATCAGGAGGCTTTCTTTTGTTCATGATGCATCAGGAAAATGAACCTCAACTTCTTCTTCTAAACAAGAAGTACAGCTTTATTTTTAAATTGTCATTGGATTCCACAGCAACACTCACACACACACACACACACACACACATTACTCTTCTCTGTGCCTCTGAATCACTTTTTTTAAAAAAAACCACAAACAGTAAACTAGTGCAAGTCAACACGCATTCTGTTAGTATAATTCCTAACACTGAACTATTATTTTGTTCCACAGAATAAATCAGTTAAAAGTTAGAGATTATTTAAGTATATAAAGAAATCAGGATTTTCTGCATTTGACATGCCATGAATCATTGGTTTATACCTGAGCACTATGACACATACAAGATTATTAATCTCTGATATGTGTGTGTTTACAACTATCTAGAATCTGTAATTTTTATAACTATGCAAATTAAAATCGTATGATTACCCTATGAAAAATCAGCTTGTACTAATATGGTGAACTGAGAACTGAGTGACTGAGAGATTTCACTGTGTAATTCTATGGCTGTGTAGGATGCCATGCAGTCAGATGCCTCTACATATTTCCAAAATTAACTTTCTGCATATGTGCGCAGAGGTAAGATGTCCTAGAGTCATTTCCTGTCTGCCTCCATAGGAGATACAGCCTAGTTTGCTTTCTTGTCTTCATGAATGTCAAATAATTATTTAGACCACTTAAAATTAGACCCACAACTTTTAATGCATTTAGCTTTTCTTTTGTCTTTATATAAAAAGGACAATCTTATAGCAATGGAAAATGTGTACTTTTTGGTTATAAGGCAAGGAAGATTTGTGTTAATTGGTGAATATACTTTAGGTCTGGGTTTCTTTAACATCTAATTTCTCTCTTGTTTTACTGGCTGGATTTTTATGACTTTGTGACTTGAAAAAAATGTGATGAATCTTGATGGGAAGATATCTGCAGTGTTGTATGCAGAGGAGAAGTAAGGGATCATGATCTTCATACCATGTGACACAAGAAAATGTGTATATTGCACTTCTTGAGGCAGCTGGACAGAAAGGGGAAGCATTTCTGTGCCACGTGCTGCTGGCACAAGCAGATCACAGAATGTTTGCTCTGAGGTTCCTGAAGGCACTGAGGAGGAGCTGTGTGCTGAGATGCTGCCATTTTCACAGATTTCACAGAATGACTAAATTGGAAGAGACCTTAAAGATCATCGAGTCCAACCCAGCCCTAACACCTCAACTAAACCCTGGCACCTAGTGCCACATCCAGCCTTTTTTTAACACATCCAGGGATGGTGACTCCACCATCTCCCCGGGCAGGCCATTCCAGAACTTTATCACTCTTTCCATGAATAACTTTTTCCTAATTTCCAACCTAAATTTCCCTTGACGCAGCTTGAGATTTTGCCTTGTAGATAACACCCTGAGCATCCTGGCCAAGCACAGCGGCTTCAGCCGGCAGAAACAGGAGGTGTACCTGCTGCCCATCGTCATCAGCGACAGCGGCACGCCGCCCATGAGCAGCACGGGCACGCTGACCATCCGCGTGTGCGGCTGCAGCAGCGACGGCACCGTGCAGTCCTGCAACGCCGAGGCCTACGTGCTGCCTATCGGGCTCAGCATGGGTGCCCTCATCGCCATCCTGGCCTGCATCATCCTGCTGCTCGGTGGGTGCTCGCGGCACGGCCTGTGGTACGGCCTGGCGTGTGGCATGGCCTGAAGTATGGCCTGGCTCATGGATTGGCCTGGCCTGCGGCACAGCCTGCGGTACGACCCGGCCCGTGGCACAGCCTGGCCTGTGGCACAGCCTGCGGTACAGCCCAGCCCATGGCACGGCCTGGCCCACAGCACAGCCTGCAGTACAGCCTATGGCATGGCCTGGCCTGTGTCACAGCCTGCGGTACAGCCCAGCCCATGGCACGGCCTGGCCCACAGCACAGCCTGCAGTACAGCCTGTGGCACGGCCTGGCCTGTGGCACAGCCTGCGGTATGGCCTGGCCCACAGCACGGCCTGCGGTGTGGCCTGGCCCACAGCACGGCCTGGCCCATGGCACAGCCCACATCACAAATCCCCCCGTGTCTGCCAGCTCAGAGGAGGCGTGGGGTTCAGAAAGGAGGAGGGACAGTCCAGTCCAACACTACGTGCAGCAGCACTGACAGTGCTGCCAGTAGGACTGAATCCCTCATGTCCTAAGAGCTGGACAGCAGCAGAGAGAGCAAAAGCCTGTTCTGAAGTAATCACACATGAGTTACAGAATAAACAGGGGTGGAATGGAAGCTGAAAATCACATTGGGATGTTGAGCAACAAGGTGAACACAGTGTGGGCTACACCTGATGGAAAATGGATCTGTTGTATTATCTAAGACTTGTGTGAATCATGGAATCAGAGAATGTCCTGAGCTGGAAGGGACTCACAGGGATCACTGACCCAGCCCCTGCCTCTGTAGACCCCCCAGCAATCCCCCCTGTGCATCCTTGGCAGAGCATCCCAAATGCTCTGGCAGTCTTGGGGCTGTGCCCATTCCTTGGGAGCCTGGGCAGTGCCAGCAGCCTCTGGGGGAAGCAGAACCTTCCCCTGATGTCCAACCTGACCCTGCCCTGGCCCAGCTCCAGCCATTCCTGGGTGCTGTCCCTGGCCCAGAGCAGAACTCAGAGCTGTCCCTACAGCCCCAGGGAGCTCTGCCCTCAGCCCTTCTGCTGAAGCTGACCCAACCCAGTGCCCTTAGCCACTCCTCAGGTGGCCCCTGCAGGCCCTTTCCCAGCCCAGACTCCCTCCTTTGGATGCCTTCTTATGGCTTTATCTCTTTCCATTATATATATATTTATATTTGTATATTTCTATTAGGAGTTTATTCTGGATTGTAATGGCACAAGAGACACTAAAGCTTTACAAGATAAGCACTGTGGTATATTTTAATAAAACATACAATGTTTGTATACAACATCAAGCAAGTGAGGGAGAGAACAGTGAAAGGAGAACTCTATTTCTGCACTTTGCAGCTTCACTTTGTGACTGAGATTTACATCAGTAACTGAGGTTTAAGCATTAAACTGCAAAACCAAGCATAATCCATCTTGAGTTTTTTATGCATCTGTCCACGATTCTGAAAGTGAGCTGAACTCTTTCTATCTCACTTATTTTCTCACTCTCTTTTTAATTATATAATAGGAGTCTCTTGCAGCAGGTAGAAAAAACACTGATTTCCTCCTCCCATTAGGGCTATGATTTCAGAAAAACACTCTCTGATATTTGAAAACACCATCCCTAATGCAGATTATTATAGATTATGTTAATAATGATAGCCCAACTTCACTTCCAAAGGGAAAAGTCAAGGCTTGAAATTAGAAGTATGGGAAATCTTATTGTTTCTATAAAATTGAATTTCAGATGTAAATATGAGCTGATAATCAAAGACTAGATGACTAATCAGAGCTTCTGATCCAATTTCTTTCACGTAAAGTGCGTTGAAGTCATAGGTCTTTCAGCTTTTCACCCTTATTTCTCCCAATCCCACAAAAACAACCTCTCACCTTCCCCAACTGCACTCACCATGTGGTGTTTGGGTTGGAAATGTTTTGCCTAATCAGCTTGTGGTGCTGTCTTTGCAGTCATTGTGGTGCTGTTTGTGACACTAAGAAGACACAAGAATGAGCCTCTAATCATCAAAGATGATGAAGATGTGAGAGAAAATATCATTCGCTACGATGACGAAGGAGGTGGAGAGGAAGACACAGAAGCCTTTGACATTGCAACTTTGCAAAATCCAGATGGAATTAATGGATTTTTGCCTCGTAAGGATATTAAGCCTGATCTTCAATTTATGCCCAGGCAGGGTCTTGCACCTGTCCCTAATGGTGTTGATGTTGATGAATTTATTAATGTAAGGCTTCATGAAGCTGATAATGATCCCACAGCTCCGCCATATGACTCTATCCAGATTTATGGCTATGAAGGAAAGGGGTCAGCGGCTGGTTCCCTTAGCTCCTTGGAGTCCTCCACATCAGACTCAGACCAGAATTTTGACTACCTCAGTGAATGGGGTCCTCGCTTTAAAAGACTTGGAGAACTTTACTCAGTCGGAGAAAGTGACAAAGAAACTTGACAGTGGATTACAAACTTTTCCCCTGTTGACTTAATGATCATGTAATATTCTAGGGCCACTGCTGTTAGTTAAAACTAATGTGGCTTTTTGTTTTAGAGGCAAGTTTAGCGCCAGTCATCTATAAAATCAACTACATTGTAATGTTGAACCAAAAAAAAAAAGTATATGTTAGGAGGTTAAGTCTTGTGGAGTGTGAAGTAAAGTATGTGGAGTGTCTAGAAGTCTTTGGATATTTGATATTCACTTGACCACTCTGAAGATGGAGATTTGGATCTTTGATTATCTTCAGTGAATTGAAAAGAACAAAAAAGAAATTGGTGCTCTCTTAGGAAATGGACTTGCAGGGATTTGCTGTTGAGCAGTAGCTCCTGCCCAGTATGTGTAAAGCTAAAGGTTTGTTTCTGCATTGCCAACAAAGATCCCGCCACAGAAATGTTCAAAGCAATATCTTGGTCTTCTTAGCAATGCTGAGCAGAAATAGCATTGCCAATTCCTACTGGCTCCTACTGTGCAGTGACCATCCATTGTACATACAGTAATTGTTGGCCACGCCACCACAGACTGAATATCATCTTTAAATATTGTGTCAAGCCTTAAAATATTCACATGTTCTTAATCCATTCCAGTGATGGGTAATAAATACTACTAATGTGTAGAGATTCAGAGGCAGGGCTGCAAAACTTTGCTTCACAGAAGGATCTCTTTTACTAGAAGAAGGATCAACCCTGTGCTTCATCTTCTGAAAGAAAAAACTGTGAAATGGGATGGACTTACATAAATGAAAGAATTGCTGATTTTATTGCTAAAGATCGAATTTATTTGTTTAATCTTTGAAATAAATATTTTATTGATGTCCATTTCTGCTTTTATTTATTAAAACTGATAATCTATAGAGTAAGATTATGAAGAAAATTAAATTATATCAGTTAGATTTTTTTTTCTATATATAATGAATGTTTCATACATGTACATTTTGAAAAGAAAAATGACAAATTGTTGCAGGTTAAAGCAGTTCCCTGTCCATTTGCAGTAGCTGAATTTTAAGAGAATGCTGGCAGGAATTAAACATTGCCAGAGAAAACTTTTGACAGTTTTATATCTTCTTCATAAATCTAGTACCTGGTGTTTTTAATACAAGCACAAACAGCTGGAAGTAAACTGGTTCATGTGAATATTTAAACTATAGACTTTTAGAAATCCACGCATAACACAGTACAGTAAAAAACCCATGCTTATAGTTCTCCACTGTATTAGAGCAGGAACCAGTGTGTACATAATTTTACTGCTTCTGTTATTAGCATTTTTTTTCTATAATATTCATAGTGATGCACCAGGGCTCTTGCACACAGAGAAAGAACACTAGAAGCTGCAAGCATACTCAATTTGTAATGCAAACTTGCCATTTAGAAGTAGCAATTGTATAAGAAAACTACGTATTACATGCAAATCATTTTAATTTTCTACTTTGTTTTGAAGCTATATTATTGTTTGTTTATTTACTCCATGTATTGTATTCAGAGAAACTCCTGTATTGTTTCCTACTTTGTGAAATATATTTTTATAAATACTTTTCTTGTTATTGCTTTTCTTTCAGGTTTACCTGGGCACTGCAGAAATGAATCTGCTGGAATAACTTCAGTTTTTGGAGGAATGTAGTTTCTTCAAAATCATTTATTTATTAGTTGAATACAGACAAAATAAAGAAAAGAAAAAAAGGAGAATATTTGAAATATTTGACAGTGATTGCAGAATTTTGACAGTGATGGAAGCACAAGAGTTATGAGAGTCTGATTCACTGCACCATGCTGAAAAATAACCTCACATGATTTTTGTTAAAGCATTGCTGGTTAAATCAACCCACTGACTTAAAGCTGCTCAATAACACTTATTCTGCAAACAAAGAATTCTTAACACATCACCCCCACCTTTGCCTGTATTTCAGATGGTAACACTGACTGCTTTAGCTGCAGCACAGCTCGGTTCAATGGCTGTAGTCTGTAGGCAACTAATACATTAATACCACTTTGGTATATATTATAAAGATTTTATTGAAATTCATGAAGTACCCAGTACATTTAAGTTATACTGCAGTAAAACAAAAATGCTTTTGAATAATTGAATTTAAAACTTTTGGCAAAACATTGATCTAAACAGTCAAGTCCTCTAAGGGTAGGAAAGGAGATATCCTGGAGATATCAATGAAATCAAATGCATTTCTGTAACTCACTACAAGAAAAACCAAACACACTCTTACTCATCACTTGCTCTGGCTGCCAGGCTGTTCTGAGCTGCCATGGCAGATCCAACACCAGTTTAAACAGGAAAGGGACTGGGAACTGAGCCAGTTTCTGTGTACATCCCAGTGCTGGGAGCCAGGGAAGGTGCTGTGAACATGGATCATGGCATTGGCTGGAGCCGCCTCAGTGTTCAGGGGAAGGCACTCTGTGAGTTAGAGGCTGCACTGGAGAATTTAGCAGAGCTCTTTTGTAGGAAAACTCACAAATGGAAAACCTTCTGATTGCCTTTCTGATTGAAAGTTCCATCTGAGATCAGGACAGTGCATTCAGTAATAAGATTTCCAGGAAAAAATCCCATCACTGGCCCTGTAGGAGAGGCAAAGCATGACAGAAATCTCATCATTGTCAGTCAAAAAGAGATGGGAGTCACTACTGCTGGGAAAGCTCAAAATTGGACATTTCTACAGCTTTTTAACAGGAACAGCTACAATGCAAAGGGGAGAAAAAGAATTGATGAATTTCTGACCTGTCAATAGAGATGAGCTGTTTCTTGTGTCATTGCCTCCTCACCGAAGGGAAATGGTTAATTCTGCGAAGTAATTCCATGTAATCTGAATATAAAATTTATACCAATACATGTTAGAGGGTTAAACGTCAGTCATTCAGTTTTCCAGCACTTCTTCTTTTTTGACAATTAACTCAGCATAGAATTATTTTGGATAACAACAGTATTTAGGGGGATTAGATCATATTTCACATTTCACATCTAGATTCAGACATATTAGCAACACTCTTTTTAAGCATGTAAACGTGTAATTCATCTTTTTCAACAACATTTAATTAGCAACTGACTCATTGCAAGTGACAAGGAAAATTCATTAAATGAATTATTAATTCATTAAATGATAAATTTGAGAAGTAAATATTCAAAATCTTTTACAAGTGCCAAGTGCCTTGGAGCCCCATTGATCCTGGCCTGCCTTCACCAGGCTGTGCCTCACATCGTTTGTCACAGCCACTGAAGTAAATCATGGCACCCATGAGAGCTGGAATTCTGTGCACATTGTAAGGACACAAAATTCAGCTCAGGCATTTCAACACGAAAGCTCTGTGAAGGGAATGTGTGTACATGTTTATTAAATATAACTGGGGTGGCTGGAGGTCCTCAGCATGTCCTGTCCTTTACAGCAGCTGAAAGCAGAGGCTGTTTGTGTGCTCTGACCTTGAAATCAGATCACAGCAAGCTCATTTAAATACATTTTTTACCCGGTATTATTACACCTTTTTGTCTATGATGACTTTGAAATGACTGTGAAATACAGAGGAGAGAAAATGGCTCAAGACTTTCATTTAAATCAGCAGTTGCTGATCACAGGAGAAACATTTAACACTATGGCAACTCCAAATCCCATCAGCTCTGTGGCAGCACAGCAGTGACAATTCTCAGTCTGGAGAACAGACAGGATGTCTGCAAAATAGTCTGCTTGGAATAACTCTATTTGTACAGCTCTGCTAGAGATGGAGCTGCTGATTTTAATAGAAAGAGAAAAATAAATCAGCTTCTCTGCACCCATGCAGTTGCATCTACCTACAAATGTGTGTGGCAATTTTTTTTAACAACCTGCATGGTCATGGGACTCTAGAACTGGATAAATGGGTTTAGAAAGTTTTTCCAAGGTCTGTCTAGCAGGAGGAATTTTTTGCAGGTAGCCTTTTCCTGTATCTTTTTTTCTTGGGGTATAATTTCAGTCTGATGGAGCTCTTTGGCTGTTTCTCCTCCTTTGCCTGCTCCTCTCTTCACCACATCTGTCCTGAGCTGGAATCCTGGGAATATAGTGTTAGGAAGTTCATTAAGACCATGTAGCTCTTTTTCAGCTGGTCAGTGTTCAGGGACTAGAAAATGCTGCTCACCCAGGAGTGTGTGGTGCACCAAGCTCCCTTCCTCCTCTAGGGAAGACTGAACAGTCTGAGTTACTCATACAAATTTAAATACTCATCCAGTATTTAAATTATGCTGAAAAATCTGAAGCTAATGATGGTGTTTTTTAATTAACAGAAAAATATAAATAATAGAAAAAATGTTCATTAATGGCAGACATTCACAAGTGCTTCTGATCAAGAGAATTGGAACGTTCATCAAAAGTTTATCAGAACTGAAGTGCCAGGAGCCAGGGAATGGCTCCCAGTGCCAGAGGGCAGGGCTGGATGGGAGATTGGGAATGAGGAATTGTTCCCTGGCAGGGTGGGCAGGCCCTGGCACAGGGTGCCCAGAGCAGCTGTGGCTGCCCCTGGATCCCTGGCAGTGCCCAAGGCCAGGCTGGACACTGGGACTGGGAGCAGCCTGGGGCAGCGCAAGGTGTCCCTGCCATGGCAGGGTTGGGATGGGATGAGCTCTAAGCCCCCTTCCAAAGTGGGCCATTCTGTGATTCTATGTAAAAAGGTTGCTCAAAAATTATTTTTCAGATTTGGAAAGTCTTTAGCAGTGGCAGGATGTTCTAGTAAATTGAAGCTTAGTAAAGATAAAAAAGTAAAAAGTAAAAAGTGAGAGCAATCACTGTTACTAGAGTTTGCTTTCAGACCGCAGCTCGTGTCATTAGCAGAAAATAGAAAGTTCTGATGGAGTGAGCAATGAAAGCTTTCTGTGCTCTATCATTCAGATAAGTTGGACTTCTATTATTTCTACATTTGTATACTATTTGTGCAAGATAATATTCTGGCTTTGCAGAAGGTGGAAACCAATTTAACTTGCTGTATAATTCACAG